TCACATCTGACACCCCAGTTCTCCCACTACAATCCTCCCTCGTTTAGTTAGTACTAATGAAAATGTAATTCCTGATATCAGAAATAGACATATTTTACATTAATATCAATAATTCACATTTTAAATAGTACAAATTTAATTATTCATATCAAAAATGCATCCTGTGAATTAATCAAAGCTAAAATGGCTTGCCATCTTTTGTAAGCTCTCGCTTTTATAAGACAGTTCACCGCCCCTTAGGAAAAGTTTGGAGTATTAAATGGAGTATAACATTGCATTTAAAATGTATAAGAAAATTGGAAAAAAAAACTATTATACTACTCAATGGGTGGACAATGGGTGGGGTGGGGTTGAGATCCACTCGTACAGAGAACTGACAGGAAGGAAAGTGGGACAGAGGGAAAAGGGGGGACAGAATCACGAATTTGCTCCAACTGGTACAACTACTTTTAAAGACCCTGATGGGGTTCAAACCTAGGGTTTTAGATGTCTTGCATTAGATCCCGAGACTGTTGCTTCATCATGAACAATTCTGGCTGCACTCTCAGTGCAAAATCAGTTTATTGAATGTTGACAACCAGAAAGTTTGCATATTTAAACTTTCTAAAGCTAAACATACATAGTTTTTGTCAGTTCAAAATCTACAAGGGAATTACATTATTGTTAGACACTTGAAAGTATTAAAAAAATTCCTTGTGGTACAGTGCACACATGTGACAGTAAGCTTAAGGAAAATCCATAAGTGCTGCAACAGAGAAATAAATGCCTCCAAACAATAACAACCATCCCATGTACGTCAGCGGTGACTCCACACACAGATGTTTACAAAGAACCCCTCCCATCCGTTCAAAAGGCACTGTTCCAGTAATTACAGATTGTACCTTTACCGTGTGTCAAGTGTTACAGTATATAGTCACACACCCTGAGCTACATTACTAGAATGCTGATATAAAGGAAACAAATAATGCCTAGCTGTCCAGTCACCAACTGTGAATCATTGCTTGTTATATGTTAGTTTATAGATTTCTTTTCATACAAGAATGTAACATGCGGCAACGCACAACTCTGTCCGAAATGAAAATCCCAGAATATTGTAGTACATGATTGTCTTACTATAGGAAAAAAAAAGATCAATATTGCAATAAATACAAATATACATAGAGATTGTCCACAAGTACAACATTTTAAGCATTGACCCAACTTTTAATAAAAAAAAACATACAAGAGAGTCAATAAAATTGTATAGATCTAAGTATGGTTATAGTTTTTATGATTTCTGCCACTTTGACAGTGTTTATGAGGTGATAAATAATTGGTAAAGCTTTCAAGCGTAGCATTTGAGTTTAAACGTCACAGAATTCATTAATATCATATTAAAATTGTTCAAAAAGTGGTTGCGTCCCTTACAATGCACTTGAACAATTGTGAAGATATTCATTTATTACCATAAGAGGCACAACATAATTTTATTAACGATCAATAAATGAAAAAAATTATAATAATAAATTAAGAAATATTTAAATAATGAATTTACTTGAGAAGACATACAAACAAATAAATAAATATTGCACAGACCAACTAATGGTCTTGAATTTGAAATCTATAATCTGGGAATAGCACTCATTTGTCCACTGTTACACATATCTGTAAGTTATTTAAATATATATATATATATATATATAAACCATTAATAAATCATATATAAAGAATAAAATAAATAAAACAATCTGGACAGAGTACTCACAGAAAAAGATTAGTTTTTAAAATACTTTATAATGTTAGATGTGAGATGTGTGATAAAATTGGCCCGAAAGTGTGATAAATTTGGCTACAGAAGCTGTTCATAGGCCTGTGCTTATTTTTCACTCAAACAACACAAACTTCATGGATAATTTGACAAACAAAAAAGCTTACGATTTGATCGGGAGCATTTGTGATTGTGCGCTATATGAGGGAAGACAAAACAACGCTCATCCTTCATACAGTCCAGGCCAACACAAACTTATTTCTTTCTTTTTCATTTCATTTTCCACTCCACTTCTACTAAAAAACAGGAGCAGGAGAGGTTGAGACAAGGACAGAAAAGCCATTAAAGCACCCTGGCACATGGCCTTGGGGATTAGAGGAGAGAAAGCATAGGAGGAAAATAGAGTATCGACCAGACTCGGGTCAAATACCTTTAGGAGTGAGTAAATCACAGGTTCGACTAAAGCCTTGTCTCATTTTCTTTGTGAACTGGATGAGTGAGAGCAATTCATCTGATACCGTCTGTTGCCGCAACGCAAGGTCTGTCTCATTAAAGTGACAAGTCTCTTCAAATGCTAAGCGAAGCACTGAGACACGCTCTTCTTCCTTCGCTGTCACTCAACAAAATAACTCAAAGAAATGTTTGACCGGTTCTGGCTCCGGCACCCACACAATCCTTCCTAAACACCCCTGTCCTAGTGCTTAAAAGACGCCTTTATCCGAAGGGATTTACGCCAGTCCAATTGCAAAAACAGTCAGTTCCCCTTGAAGAACTCCGGTTTAAGTGCTACGGTCAAGGGCAAAATAATGGCAGATCACAAACGTGTTTTAAGGGACTCTCGACTCGTCTTCACTCCCGCTCCTACCAGAACCTCTAGCATTCGGATAGCAGTTTGGCCTTTACGTTAGCAGTGTTAGGAAAAGAATATTACCGGTTCAGTACAAGTTAAGCACAATTGACAATCTTCATTACCACAAAAATGGCCATGCAATGTGCATGTCCATGTGGGCATTTATAATGGAAGTGGATGGGGCGATGAAATGGAAAAAGCAAAAGATCGATTCTTCTCTATTGTGATGCACATTAGATGTTGATTGGATTTTAACATAGAGGTATACAATAGAAGTCACCTGGCTATGGCAGTTCATCTGGCTATAGAGCCGCCATCTTGGAACAGGGGAGTCCCTCCACTTTAAAGCATCAGCGTCAATGTAGACAAAGGTCTAACAGAAATAAATTCATCATAAATCATCATGAATGCGATTTTCTCATTTTTTTAGTTTGTTCCAACGGTCAGACATGTATTTACCATTGATACCATTGAATGTTTTACCATTGAAAACATTCTTCCTAGTTAAGATTTCATTCGTGTGAGAATTATACACAGCACAAAAGTCCGCCACCATCAATTAATTCGAAGTAAAGGCAGAGTTAGCGGCGTTACCTACCTACTTCCTATGACAACACCCCTGTTCCAAGATGGCGGCGGTTTTGACGCATGCTTAGAACCCCAAGGTGACATCTAGTGTATATGTCTATGGGATTTTAAGATGTGGGCGTTGCACTCGAAAGTGGGGTCAGAGCTTGTAGAGGTGGAGTTTAAGCTAACGCAATGACTAAAATCTGCATATTTTAGCGGAAGGTCCGGATGTACAACTTCACATTTCTTTTTTAACACTGCGACATACACACAGATTAATTGTTCACAGTAAGATCTATATAACATGCATTTATAAATAGGATGAATTTCCCATGACCCGTCAGAGGAAAAGAGGTTTGGAGAATGGATGGATGGATAGGGTGAATTTAACATAATTTTAGCGTGATAAAATTGCTACCGAAACTATTCGGTGTAAAGGCCTGTTCACACCGGGACGAATTTCGCGCGCGTTATTCGGCGACGTTTAACGCCTCGTGACTAAACAAAGGGCACCAATGTGAGTGTTCACACCAACGTGTAAAACGCCTTTTAAAAAAATAAAATAAAAAAAACGCCTCGGGTTCATCTGACCAATGAGATTGTCTGAAGTTACAGTAAAACACAACTTGGGGGCGCTCAAACACAAAACGGTCTTGCCGAGCACACATATGCAACAGGGAAGAAGATACGCAGCCCATTCTCACCCCCAAGGCGTCACCTAACTGACGCCTTGGGAAGCATTTTGACCATGCTTCAATATCTGACGCTTTAGGCGGCCTTTAGCGTCAGTTAGATGACGCCCTAGGATCACGTGTAACCCTACCCCTACCCCAGACCTAAACCTAACCGCGTCATCTAACTGACGCTTTCCTTTAGCGTCAGTTAGATGACGCTGTAGGATCGCGTCATGTAACTGATGCTAAAGGGCGCCAAAAACATCAAATATTGAAGCATGGTCAAAGGTGACGCCTTGGGGTGAGAATGCGTTGAGATACGCGTCGCCGTCAACACTACTCAGTCAGGAAGAAACAAGACGAGGAAGATGCAAGGTAAGATGAATGTAGAGCTGCTGTTTTCGTTGGTGCAAGAACATAAAGAACTAAATGACAAACGCGACAGCGACTATAAACATCTTGATAGAGAACTGTTATGGAGTGGTATTGCAGAGCAAATTGGCGCCATCTAATGTCAGGGAATGAATTTGCATGTTCACTCGGCTCATCGTCAGCGAAAATCGCTTGGGTCTGAACACAAAAAAGGCGTTGAAAAACGCTGATCAATAACGCACGGCACGCTGATATTCGTCCCGGTGTGTACGGGCCTTAACTGTCACCATGACAAAGCAACGCCAAAAAAACCTGAAACCCACTGTAAAAAATGACGGTTTAAACAACTTTACAGCTTAAAAATTTGACTCACCTAACCTTTTTTTTTATGAAAATGAGGGACAAGCCTATATAAAACATTTGTTTATGCCAATAGATGAAACAACACATTCTGTCAATTGAGCTTACCTTGAACTGAATCCAGAATATTCATTTAAAGCATGTTATTTTCTGACATCATTAGTTTTTGTTGGATAAAATCACTGTACATGTTGCCTGTGCAACAGAAATTAGTTTCCAAACACACTACCATTCAAATGTTTAGGGTCTATAAGATTTGTTTTTCTTTTTTGAAAGAAATTAGTACATTTATTCAAACAGGTTGCACCTTTTTCAGAGGAAATCAGAGGAATTTCAAATCAGAGGAATTAGTTACATTTTAAAATATTACTTTAAAATGTTATGATGTTTCATAATATTACTGTTTTACTGTATTTTTGATCAAATAAATGCAGTCTCAGTGAGAACGAGACTTCTTTAAAAAACAAACAAAAATCTTAGCAACCTCAAACTTTTGAAAGGCAGTGTATCTGTTGAATGTGAATTCATATTAAATACAGATTATTTTTTTAAATGAAGTGTTTTTATAGCTGAGATATAGGGATTTATCAAAAGTAAACAAAGAAGTCAGGTTCAGGAATGTCAGGAATCGAAAAGCGAAGTTAAAAACCCAGCAACTTCAAAATAAAGTACATGAACAACCAGTTTCTAGATACCACTTTACATTGCCTTCGTGAGATTCCAGCATCCCGGACTCATTTGTACAGCAGGGGAAGACGGCTGTTGTGGCAGTTATTCCGGCTCAGTTTGCCCTCGCCCTGGTAGAGGTTGGAAGAGTTGGAGAAGGACGGAGGCAGGGATTGTTTGTCCGTTGGGGTGGAGTAGCTGAGGGGTTCGGCCTGAGAGGACGGGACGCTGTGGTTCTGGTTCTGATTCTGGATGGATGTGCGCCTGCGAGAACGCAAGGCCTGACGTTCTGCCAGTTGACTCCGCAGCTCCGTCACTCTTTCTTCCTTCTGTACAAATATAGAAATATGGATATATTATTATTAAGCAATCAAATTAAAAAAATATCATGACTTTCAATGTGCTATATTTGAAACTTTTAAAGTAATAATATCCTATTTTTATTATGTATTTCTCTTACTTTAATAACAATTATTCTAAAGTTCATTTGTATATTAACATATAAAAGCATATTCTGGCCTTACTGAAGGAACAACATGCGAAAGCAGAGTCATGTGCTCGGAAGGTCAAAGAAAAGGACGTGCATGATATCATTTCAATAATTCATTCTACCCTACGGATTTCTGGTGTGTTCATTTCTTCATCTATTATGGTGTTAATTACGACGCAAGCTGTGTGCCCACGAGGAGAAGAGGACGTGACGGATGGAGGAAGAGAAAAGGAGCACGTGCCTCTTGAATGATCTTCTGGAGTTCCCTGTTCTCGCGCTCCAGCTGTCGGGACTTCTCCTCGTCGTTGTTGTTGGTGGATGAGCCGGTTTTCAGCGTGTCCTGCTGCTCCGACTGCCACTCGCCACGAGTGATCAAACGCCGGATCTGCAGAAACCACCATAATCATCTATGAGACACTGCAGGGGAAGATCGCTGAATTTATGAAATATCACTGAAACCAGTAGTTGGTGTGGGTGATATTGTGCAGGAGATGACGGGTAATAAGGGATCATTTACAGCCAGCCAGTCAAAACATGAATCAACTTAGCGATGAAGATCTGTTTTCTGTACATTATTACATGGTTAACTTACCTAATTAATAAATAAAATGGACATGAAATACTGATTCAAATTAATGTTAACTTATGTGAGAAGAAAGAGGTCACAAAGCAGGGCTATCATTAACCAAAAAAAAAAAAAAAATCTTTTTTTTTATTAATATTGAAGCTGAAATTAAATAAAAATTTAAACATTACACGGAAAAACAAAAAAACTATAATTTTTGGTACTAAAATTATTAACTAAAAAAATACAACTAAAACTGAAATAAAGCTAAAACTGAAATGAACTTAACTTAAATTAAACCTAAACATTAAAATAAAAAAATCAACTGACAAAAAGCACGTTTAAAAATTAATAACTGGAAATGAACTAAATCTGAAATAAAGTAAAAAAAAAATTAATATAAAAATGTATTAAACCTAAAAATAAATATTTTATAGGGAATAATAAAAACAACAAAAAGCACATTTAAAATTACTTACTGGAAAAATAAAATAAATAAATAAAACTGAAAGTAAAACCATTTAAACTTAAACAGCAGGCTAATATAAACAAATACTGAAAACTATATATATATATATATATATATATATATATATATATATATATATATACACATATATATAAGCTACTCACATTTTTTAATAAAAACTATAATACTAAAAGTCAGAATCAAACTAAAAGCCAATCAGAATCAAGCATCCCTGAGCGCTGTGTAAAAATAATGCACAATATACTCTGGGAGAGCATTCTCCATGATGTTTTGTAAAACGTAATTTTGTGTTGAAAACGAAACATAACTTAACCTAAAGCACATATGCAGTGACAAGAAACTAAACCGTGTCAAGGGACAGAACCGAAATCAGACGCATTGAGAAATCGGTGTCTACCACAAAGACGAACCAGCATGAATATGAAAGTGATATAAAGCAGGGGATTATCGAAGTGCATGGACCTTGGGCACGAAGAGCACCACGAGAGTGATGTAGACTGAGAAAATGATGGCCAGAGAGGCGAACGCAAATGAAGCGTCCTGCTGAGAGGAGAGGATCATGGTCACTGGAGCAGTAATCATGCACAGCACCTGGAGACACAAACAAAGATAGAATATTGTTAATCATGTAAAGATATAACTGATTAGATTTTTAAATCAGATCTTAAAGGGATAGATCACCCAAAAACGTATCATTTACTCACCCTCAAGTTGTTCCAAACCTGTATGAGTTTCATTCTTCCGTTAAAGCAGCACTATGCAGGATTTCCGTTTTTGTCAAACTGTGACCCCTAGAGGCGCTGTGGAGTACTTGTACTGTCGCCCAACATTCAACCCGAAAATAGTCATATAACCATTGCAATAACTACGAAGCTATTCAGTTATGGTAAAAAAAAACTGCATAGTGCTGCTTTAAACACAAAAGAAGATATTTTGATGGACCCCATTTACTTCCACAGAAGAAGAAGAAATACTATGGAAGTCAAAATATATTATTTTGTGTTTAAGAGAAGATTAAAACTCATACAAGTTTGGAACAACTTGAAGGTGAGTAAATGACCGAATATATGTTTTTGGGTGAACTATCCCTTTAAGGACTCACTTTCTGTCATTTAGTAGGCAAAATTAAAAACAAATAGGAAGAATTAAACCGCCTATGAATGTCATGGTTTGTTAGTTTTTGCTGTTCAGACTACAAAAAAATGAACTGAATTTGAGGTTATGTCAGGAAAAATGGTTGCTGTCTAAACAAGACCTTTGTGTACCAAACTATCATCGCCACTAGAGGGCGGAAATCAACTGTAAGAGAAAAAATAATTGCAGAGCAGAAAAAGTGCCAAGAATGAGAACTGAGAAACTGATGAGATAAAGATAGTGAAGAGATAAATAAAGCAGATGGAAGAAAAAGGGTGTGTGAGAGAGGGAGAGAGACACCTGTTGATGAAAAAGACAGAGGTGATTTTGTCGAAACACTTGGAGCGGGCAGAGTTGAAGATCTTATGCGATCACTGGAGATGTCATATCTGGTGAACGGTGCAGAAAAATGGCTGGTATTTACCGTCAACGGCTCAGAATGACTCTACACACAGATAACTGCGAGCAATGAACCGACTGTCAGGAGTCAAAACAACGTCCACAACACCACTAAAGTCTATTTCCTCTCTGACCTCAACAGCACTGGAGTGATATGAGCCATTCTACCAATCGAAGCATGTTGTTCCTGACACACGGCAGAAACATGGTGCAGTTCTGGGACCCAATCTGATCTTTTGTAAAAGAAATGTAGGACTGACGTAAAGCATTACCAGTGAAGTGTTCCTTGTTTCCTCATTAAGATGTTTTAGTCTGAGTTTGAGCAAATGGGTGCAATTATGCAAATCATCCAGCGAAGCACTTGGGGATATTGCCGGAATCAAACTGTTTTCAAGCAGTTGGGCGATTCAGAGAACCACAGTAATCAACGCTTCATTCAAAGAATGTGCTAAAAAAAAAAAAGCGCGAACACAAGGAGATGTGTTGATGTTGATAAAAATAAACGCACTTAAAGTTAGCATTACGTCAATAGCTATTCTTTTGTTTTCACAGTTGGTATTTAATGTTGGCTCATAGATCATTTTAATACACACATATAAATATTTAGTAGGCTATAAATATATTGCATTGTAGTAATACTTTTCAACCTAATAGAATTACATAAAATAACTCAGCTATAAATTCAGAATAAAAGACAATAAGAATCTTGAATTAAACAAAGTACAATATATTATCTGTTGGTGATAAAGGTCGAATCCCGAAGGAGTAAGAAACTATGGAAGCTTGTTTCTGACACTGAATAAAAAATACTAAAGATAATTGCTAGTTTTTTTCTCACAATTCTGGCTTTGTTCTTGCAATTGCAAGTTATAAAGTCCAATTCTGAGAGGGGAAAAATCTAAAAAAGTCATCTCATAATTCTCACTTTATAACTCACAATAGTGAGTTTTTAATCGCACAATTCTAAGAGAAAAGTCCAAAATGCTTAGCACTTATCTTTTGTATTTTTTCCACATGAAAAGGGCTATATTACTTTTTTTTCAGGACTCTTGGATACACAAAAAGTTAAAAAAAGAACAGCATTTATTTGAAATAGAATCTTTTGTAACATAATAAATGTATTTGCTCTCACTTTTCAGTTTAATCAATGATTCATCCTTGCTGAATAAAAGTATTAATTTCTGACCCCAAACTTTTGAACGGTAGTGTATAAATATTAGCTGTTAGTGCACATTTTATTTTGTGATTTGATTAACTTGACCTGTAATGTAAAATGCTTTAGACTTTAGTCATCCTTCATTTTTGTCTTCTATCAGGTAAAAAGACATATACTTAATGAGCAAGCCATTTATTGTAACCTATAAAATAGCTTATGAAGTGCGAGGAGGACGCAAAGTCACCTGCTGGGTCTCAATTCTCAAACTCGGTGACTAACAAAACACAGGCCCAGAAAATGCTACCGCCCTGGGCGACAGTTTCCGCCACTGCTTATTAGCAGTTTCAGTTAATAAAAGCTGCAGTCCGTAGCTTAAAATTGATCCAAAATACATATCTGAGAAAATAACCAGCCAGTGTTCAAAACTATCTGCTTCCCTTAGCTCGAATCAAAGAGGTAAGCTTGTAATAATCGTTTTAACTCCAGTGGTACTGTTGGATTTCCGCTGGAGATTCGAGCACGTCTTTGCGTCATTACGTCACATCTGTACACATAAAGAAGGAGTCTCGGCTAGTAGAAGCTATATTGGGTGTGAGGATGTTATAACCTTTTCTCACAGCACTTGATACAATTAAACGTATCAATTTGATGGTGAATCCAGAAAGGTTCAAACGACAATCACCAGAGACAGATTCACCCGCTGTAAAATGCAAAGGACTTCGTTCGGACTTCAGAGTGGATACAGAAAAAAAGAGCGAAAACAAGGATAACAGCGGAAGGACATTACATGAAGTCACGCAATGCTGACGTTGTTAACATTAACAATTTGAGTTAACAATTTCGCGTGATATGATAACTTATAAGTGATTGTTAGATTTAATAGCACGATTTACTGGAATGTCAGAACCAGAACAAAAGTGGATGTTTCTTACTAGTTCAGATGACATTTTCAGGTGAAAATTATTATGTTGGTCATACATCCAAAAAGAATAATCTGTGATTCTGAATGCCAGTATCCACACCGGCGCAGTGACTGACACACTCTCTCTCCTTAAACATTGTGTTCATCCACGCTGTGCCGTGCCGAGGCACAACTCACATAAAGTTGATAATTCCCCGAATGACTGCAATTAAAGATTTCGAACTGAGATGGCGACAAAGAGGAAAAACTGCAGACTGCAGCTTTAACTTTTGTCTTTTTGTCATACATTTAAAAAGGAGTCACATAACGTGACTGTTAAACATAGTAAAACACATGGGGAAGATATAATAGTTAAAAAGTTCTGGCTAAAAAGGCACAGTATTCTTGCAACACACTGATACACATACCATATGTGTAGCAATATACTAGATAAATCAATCTCAGGTGTTTCGCTCAGCTGTCAGTTACGGTTAGGCTCCACTGTGAGGACATTATATGCACTGAAAATAGAAATATAGCCTGCAGTCAGACTTACAGATACATTGTAGATGGCCATACCGACCGCTCTGTGGTCATTAATCTTCTCGGTGGAAATGGACTTGGTCTCGTAGGCCAGAAAGATGCCCAGCAGCAGCAGAAGTCCCTTGTAGCCGTACACCACACCTGAAGGAAGCAGACATTACTTATAGTGAGTGCTCTTTACCCTCGCAGGCTCATGCTCTTTTTGTGATGCTTTTGAGTCCAGACCAGAATAACTCCAGAAAAAATAGTGATCCTATCCTTGAACCAGTGATTTTTAATGATTCTTTTAAACTGAGGCATTTGACTGTTTTGGCAGTAAAATGGTGAGGTGGGTGAGCACATTTGACATCATCCTCACCACCATTTAAAAGTGTACCGTTTAAAACAACAGTTTTCAACATTTATAATAATAATAAATGTGTCTTGTGCTGTAAATCAGCATATTAGAATGATTTCTGAAGGATCATGTGACACTGAAGACTGGAGTAATGATGCTGAAAATTCAGCTATACCATCAGGAATTTGAATACAGGAATACATTACATTTAAATTAAAATAGAAAATCGTACAAATATTTCACGATATTACTGTTTTTACTGTATTTTTGAGTAAATAAACATAGCCTTCGTGAGTATAAGAGATTTCTTTTTAAAAAATCGTACAAAGCGGAAACCTTTCAATGGGATACGTATAACCTAACAGAAAACATACACTGTAAAAAAAAAAAAATCTTCATGATTTGTAATCACAGCATTTTTTCTTTTGTCAAATCAAGTTAAATAATTTATGTAGGCTAGTTCAGATAACATAATATTTTGAGTTTCTGATGATTAAATCAATCTCCTTCATTGTATTAACTCCATTTTCCATTTCAATGAACTTAAAATTTTAAAGCAACCAGGTTACTTATTTTTTTAAGTTAAACCAACAATTTTTTTTACAGTGTAGCAATAGAGATTAACTACAGTTGTATTTTACCTGGTTTTTACCTGGTTTAACATTAACTAAAGTTGTATTTTAACTTTTTACCTAAAGTTGTATTTACCTTTTATATAAAAAATATATAAAAAGAGTATTTTATAATTTGCAATATATTTGAGCAATGTTATAAATGAATGATTCTTGTGTTGAAACTTCCCAAAACGTTGAAAGAAGAGTTTGTGGTGCATAATATTGATGATGTATGAATACTTTACAATTTAAATAACATAAAATGTGTATTATAGTTTTGTGTATTATAGTACATATTTTTTCATATTACAAAGCCTGGAGAAAATGTGCTCAAATGTTATGAAATTAGTGCAAAATTTATCCACAATTATGACTGAAGATTATCCATCTGAAGATGGATGAATCTCTGTCCAGTCTATATGTCCATATTTAAACAAGTTGTGAAAGAAATTAAAAGACAAAAATAAATAAATAAATAAAAACATGAAGAATGGAAAAGGAAGTGAGAGAGAAGAGAGGAACAAATACACTAGTCTCACATTAGAGTTTAATCTCGTTTTGAGTTCAGGGAAGGTTTTTTTTCTCTCTCTGTAATATTATCTTCCTGTACAGTGTGTGAGAGAGTCAGGCTATGAGATCCAGACCTGGGCACTGACCCACAAAATTTAATTTTACACTGCAGCGCTCTGATAGGAAGTCAGAGCAAGAGGAAAAGTATGAGAAAAAGAGATAGAATGAGAGGGAGAGAGAGAGAGAGGGAGAAGAAAGAGTTGAGAAATAGTGAGAGGAATACAAAATGAACTGGTGGAAAAACTATTGAGCATATAACAAATTATTGATTAACATTTTGGAGATAAATTGCATCAGTGTCGAGTGAAAAGCAACCATATATACATAATTAAATAACTGTACACACACACACATATATATATATATATATATATATATATATACACACACAGGTACATATATATATATATATATATATATATATATATATGTTCTAGACCAGGGGTCTTAAACGCACAGCCCACAGGGTGATTTTAAGGGGATCATGCAAAACCATGCATTGAAAAAACATTATTATCATTATGATATATTCATATTCTTTTTTTACAAATATTGAAAGGAGTAAAGCAATATACAGTGAAACCATGAAAGTTACATTTTTTTCTCCTTCTAATGTATATTCATATTCTTGAGTTACTCAACAAAGTTATAATATAATAAAAATGTATATATAATCTATATTTAATATATTTAATAATATATTTATATACTAATATAAGTATATAAATACTTATATATTATATACATAATATATAATATATTTAATCTAAATTTATATAAATTTATAATTTATAATTTATATATATATATATATATTTTTTTTTGCATTAGGGGTTTCAATGAAAAATCCTTTGTAAACACCACTGGACACTGAGTGAATTCATGGATACGTACCAAGCCACGTGTTCATCTTCTCTGAACTGCAGTGCTCGAGTAGAGGCTGAATCAACACATCCAGGTCTTCTTTAGGAGCCTCTTTAGTGAACTTCTGCTTAGAGTGAGAAAACAAGAGAGAGAGAGAGAGAGAGAGAGAGAGAGAGAGAGCACTTTAAAGGACAGAGATTGAGGTCAATGCAGCAGAGCACCGCACTACAATCCTTCACCATTAACACCTACTTCCATGCGCTTGCTCTGCAGAAATTTCCAAGGCATCTCAGAGGAAACACATCATAAAAATCAAAGTAACAACAAGAATAAAAAAAAAATAATGAAGTGCCACCCCACCTCCACGGTTATGTGCAGTGGGTCCATGATCTGCCAGATAAGCAGAGAGATAACATCAATAGCCAGCAGAACTGCAACGGTCACATACAGCTTCCACGGCTCCAAGTGCTGTGGAGAAATAACAAGACCATAATCGTTAGTCAATGGTACACAGTCACAAAACATCAAGACAGTAACAAGCAACTGCTATAAACGGGGAAATAAAAGCAAGATCACAGAAGTTGTAGACATTTTAGACTGTATAACACTTTTTGTCAGTGTGGAACACAGGAATTGAAAGCTTCTTTATGCATCTCATAGAGTACATGCTTTTTAAATATAATGCGTTAACTACACATTGCAAATATATGAGCAGAAAGTAAGTAATGACACCTAAGTTTTACAAATTACGTAAGTAAAGATCACTACCATTAAAAAGTTTGGGTCTGAATGCTTTCTATGAATACTTTTATTCAGAAAGGATGAATTAAATTGGTCAAAAAGTGTAGCAAAAGATTTGGATTTAAAATAAATGCTGTCTTTTAAACTTTTTATGCATCAAAATAAGTATTTACTTATTTTCTTCATGAGTAATTCGCTCATGAATCTGCTAATAAGAGTCATGTGTTTGTGAATCGAACAACACTAATTGTGCTGTATTTATTTTCTGCGTGCATGGTTACTATTGCAGTACGAGGTCAAACCTGGCGGAAACCGGGGGTAACGCGGATATGACATCATTGACTGGCGACACCTCACCCCTGCTCACACGCCCCGTTTCCTTGGTTAAAAATCGCAATCTCACGATTTACAAATAGTTGGAAACATTTGTGATATTGAAAGTAATCAACTAAACAAAATATATAACATTGGCCTAGTGGTTTTTGGATATTTTACTGCAAAAATCCTGCATATCGTACCTTTAAATTACATCAAGCTGACTTTTAAAAAATGAGTTAACACTTGTATACAGTACAAAAAAGTTATTTTGAGGAGTTAAAGCAATGTAAAAACATGTTGTCATATCATATTTTGCAATGGTGATGTATTTGTCCTTTTTGGAGCTTAAACGTCATTGCATAAAAAAGGCTGTATAATGATTCTTCAAAAACTTTTACTTTGACGTTTCACAGGAAAAAAAAGTAAAAGCATATGGGTTGGGAATGACACGAAGGGTGAGTAAACAACAACAGAACTCTTTTAAAGTACAAGCGCCGTCAAGGAGCTGTTCTGAATAACACGTTTATTTTCTTGTCAAGGTATATGGTGGAATTGCTCTGACACCATAACAATTGTGTTTACTCCACTGCATGGTGGGTAACAGGAAAGCAGAAATGCCAATCATCAGCAAACATCACGAAAGTCATGTGTTACGAATGTGGAGTTATTTTCAGCTCCCACTCCATCCATTAATATATGGCCGCAGGCTCCCTCTGGGCCGTCAGACAGACTGGGAAAACGGGATAGAACCATACTTCGCAGAACACTTTCTTTTCTCTCTCTCTCTCCCTTAATCGCCGTGAAGGCGTCAAATGACCCGAGAGCCCTATTTCTACAACATTCAGCCTGAGCGCCGAACTTTCTTCAAGTGCCGTCGAACCACTTAGGCAAATTGCCCCATTACGGACATTGGGAGAGTTGAAAGTCATCTCGATTCGTCGCGCAGAGCGCTTGAATAATAAAGCCCCCTGAAGGTCGGATTTCCGTAAAAGAAGTTTAATGCTCATCCATATTCATCCATACTGCATAGTTGGGGTAATCTGGTTGTCATTTGATGAGGTCTTAGGGTTTCCCTAATGCCGTGTCTTATTGCTTTAGGACACAGGATCAGAGCGAACACATGTCAAGATGCTAATAGTGTGTTTGTGTTGTGTAAGGATGAAACGGACGGAACTTCTCGAGAATCAGCGAAAGGAGGGGGAAGGTTCTTCTCCATTTCATGCTGGGAAGCTTCATCTAGCACTGTAGAGTCAGCGGTGTGGGATGCTTTAATATGCTGTTGATAACAGTGAAAGGTAACGCAAGCGTGTTGCTCGTCACATCTGCAGATTCTGCTAAATCATCTGAAAATTATTAAAGGGTTAGTTCACCCAAAAATGAAAATTAAGTCATTAATTACTCACCCCCATGCTGTACCAACCCCGTAAGACCTTCGTTCGTCTTCGGAACAGAAATGAAGATATTTTTGATTAAATTTGAGAGCTGTATAAGTACCACATTGGCTCCTAAGGGACTGCCTCTTGACGGCCCAGAAAGTCAATGAAGAAAATGTTTAAATATCCCAAGTGACTTCCGTGGCTCAACTATATGTTTATCAAGCGAGACTTCCTTAGATTTCCATGACGCATGCGCGAGAATTGCGATCTCCTTACACTACTTCAGATCGCAATTCTCGCGCATGCGTCGTGGAAATCTAAGGAAGTCTCGTTTCTGGCCTACAAGGAAGAAAAGAAATAGTCGAATAAACTTGTTATTTTTGTTTGTTTTTTCGCACAAAAAGTATTCGCGTCGCTTGATAAACATATAGTTGAGCCACGGTAGTCACTTGGGATATTTAAACATTTTCTTCATTGACTTTCTGGGCCGTCAAGAGGCAGTCCCTTAGGAGCCAATGTGGTACTTATACAGCTCTCAAATTTAATCAAAAATATCTTCATTTCTGTTCCGAAGACGAACGAAGGTCTTACGGGGTTGGTACAGCATGGGGGTGAGTAATTAATGACTTAATTTTCATTTTTGGGTGAACTAACCCTTTAAGGGGTTACTGAAAAATGCGACGTCTACAGCCCTGTCATCATTCTAATTAAACAAAATGTAATTCATGTGAAATCCAATAGTTTACTCACCCTTGTGATTCAGAATGGTTTTCTTTCTGTTGTAGAGCTCAAGTAAATGTTTAGCAAAATGTAATAGCAAAATGGAAAATAATAATAATTGTTCAAAGATGACTGTAAAAATGTTGGCGCTTCTACTCTTCAGTTCACCCCACTTATTTTCTCTATAGGGTTCAGGTCAGGGTACTGAGATTTTGTGCTCAGTGATGTCATTTTTGTGTTGATTTTGATGTTTGTCTTGGATCGTTGTCCCGATGGAAGATCCAACCATGGCCCGTTATAAGATTTCTAGCAGAGGCCGTAAGGTGTAGATTTTGTACCTTTTGGTATTTGCTAGAATCCATAATACCATGTATCAAGATTTCCTAGCCTGACTTCGTCATACTCATATTCTTGTCAGAATATGAGTCTGAGACCGCTCCGTAGGGTTTTGATTATGAGGCGTGTCTTAACCGAACCAGGAACTGCACTCAATTGGATAGTCGGTAGACCTACAACCAATCAGAGCAACGCAGTAAGTCAAATACTTTGCAGAGCCTAGTTGTCAACAACAGAACTTACTTATTTTAGTAAAATAACAAGTGTTGCTTCTTTCACTTGGTCCTTCATGAGTGCGACCAAAGGAGAAACCACAACGACCACATGCTTTTCATTACGTCCCATCTTCTTAACTTAGCCAGCTGATAAGTTACACTTTTGCCGAATATCTTTCTGATCGACAAATGCCTTGATTGCAGTTTTCTGTTTGTCTATTAAAATTAATGCAGTGTCGATTAATTTTAAAAACAGACGCGACAGAGGAATCTATACATCTAAATTCTCCAGCTGCAGTCATCTCTGAGGGAAACCAGTTGGCACTCTTTAATAACGTGATGATTACGTCCCTGCAGATCATCTGTCCATCATCGCTTAAAGCCCGCTCTGGCAATCTGATTGGCCCGATCATCATTTTTTTTGCCTGATCATAATTACTCCTCAATGGATCGAGTCCAGACCGAACTTCCCGACCAAAAAATGTTGTGGGCGGAGTTCGAGCTGGCATCCAGGCTAAAGATTTCCAGGACCTCCAGCAAAAAAACTGGCCCACAACATTAAAGATCCAGCAGTCTATTTAACCGTGGGGATGGGGTACTTTTTTATTCCTCTTTGCACCAAAAACATCTGCTGTGTTTGCTGCCAAAAAGCAATTTTTTTTTTTACTTTCATCTGACTACAGAATCCGGTCCCTTTTGATATTCCAATCGTGTCTGACCACTGAATATGCTGGAGTTTGTTTTTGGATGAGCGAGGAGGATTTTTCTTGAAACCCTCCCAAACAACATGTGGTGATGTAGGGGTTGTTTGATTTTTTTTCCAGGTTTTCTGACCCCAAGACTCAACTAATCTCTGCAATTCTCCATCTGTGATCCTTGAAGAGTCTTTGGCCACTATATTCCCTTTATTTGAGCTAAGAATCACTACATTCTGTATATGATAATATTGAAAAAGTATTTACCCTTGTAATTTTAATTATTATTAATAATATGTTATAAATAATTAAATGTAAATACAAATATCATTAGATTTTTTAAATATTTTGTAGTTAAATTACAATATTGTGAAGCTGTTCCTTTAAATGCAAGATGCATTTTTATCCACTCAGGACTACCTTACCTTCCTCTTCTCTTTTTTCTCATCTTTCTTGGTGAAGACCGTGTGAACCCACCAGATCTTGGTGAACATGCTGCCATAGGCTAAACTGAAGCCAAGTCCAAGCAGCCACAGGCGAAACTACGAGAGGATGAGAGAGAGAGAGTTCATTTGGGAGCTTAGCTACAAAGCAGCGATTCATTTTTTCACAACAAATCTTCACTGTGCTAAAAGGTCAAGGCTGAATGAGAGGAAACGATAATATAAAAGGGACTATAACATTTACGACTCTACCTGGCACACCACAGGGAACTGTGATCTATGGACATGGAGGCCATCGATGCCCAAAGGAAAGACAGCAGCCAACGCCAGCACGCATCCCACCGCGGTCATGTTGTTCAGATAGGGCTGAGAGTTCTGGATGTATCTGTCAGGAGGGTTAGAAGAACAGCCCAACTCAGCCCACAGATAAAATACACCATTTCAAAATGAGAAATCCAAAATATTTCACGTTGGGCTGAAATATTATTTTGTAAGTGGCATGGGAGCATTTAAAGGGCTTATAAAATCATGAAAAATGATTTTCCTTCATCCTAATCTTCTAAAAATCCTCCCCAGGTCAAAATAGGTTTTATTAAAACTTCTATCCATGATCATTTCATTTCGATTGTGTGAAATCGTGTTTTGTGAACCAGCCAAAATGTGATGCCGCTTTGTAATGAGGCTGCACTGCACTGAAAAATAAAATAAGAAACAATTTCTTCATTTTTTCCCCAATTAAAATATATAAATCTCACTTATAAAATAAGATGAAATTACTTGATTCATTTTTCAACAATAAAGTTTTTTTTATTATATTGAACATTAAAGTCATTTTTTTAATTAATTTTTTCCTACCTCATTGGCAAATAGTTTTTATTTTAATATATATTAACTCTTTCCCCGCAATTGACGGAAATACTCAAATACATTGACATACTGAACAATATTAAAATAATCATAAAAATACTGTTAATTTTAGATTTTGGGTTCAGGGTGCCATTCGTTTTCATCTCTAACAGCAAAAATGTTGCAAAATGGGAATAATTTTCTATATAACAGAGATATTTAATGATGCCATCATTGTAAATGGCTTGTAAACAAGACATGACAGGAGATCAAAGAGGAAAGGAGCAGGGCACAGACTGAAGGAAGACGTCAAACCATAAATATACTGACAAAACCTTTTCTAGCAGTCAAACATCAATATAAAATCAATAGATTCAGATTTTGATGTCATCACCTTTTAGAAAGTCACCTGAAAACAATGTTAGGCGCATATTTGCTGTTGTATGGCAAAATTAAAATCATAAGAAAAAGTAATGTTGAGTCAGTAATTGTAATGTTTAAGGCATGTGGATTTCTTTTGAACACATGATACTGACCTGATGCTACTGTTGTATATGTTGAAGGAGAGGCAAACTATGCCTAGGATGATTCCCAGCCCGGCAAAGACAGACACTGATACAAAGAGCTTCTGGGAAAGATAACGAAACTCCTTAATCACCTTGGTCTGGTCTGCCGGAGGGCCGAGACCTGTCAAGAGGAAACAGAATGGCTGATAAGAGCGTAAAAATCACTGTGTGGTGACACTAGATACATAAACACATGCAGAAAAAAAGTTTAAGAGTGACTTCATTGACAGTTTAAAGGAAAAAAGGGCAAAGTATTCCAGGTTGGTTCAGAGAATCATTCGAATTTTCTGTGAAATCGGGCCACTGGGTTGATTTAACACGCCAAGTTTCTGGAAAGTTTCAGGGGAAAAGGAAGCTCTAGACGTTCACACATTAGCAGGACCAGACTGAATGTGACTCTAACACTTTTCACACTTTCTGCGATCGTTTTGGAGAGAATTGTGCAGATTTCTGTGAAACAGATTTAAAGATGTGTTAAATGGAGCTGGGAGTACAACACTTTTTTTGCTATCTCAAAGAATAAACAAACACTAAAAATATTTAATGAGCAAACATGATTGCAAGGGACAAGGAATGTGTAAAACTGACTGAAGGCTGTCGTAATTCTGAGCTCGGGGTGCCAGTTGACAATTGTTTTGTTCTAAGATCTTCGGGTTTCATCTCTATTCACAAAATTGTTACAAAATGAGAATTAATTTAAAAAAGGGAGATTTTTAAAGATGACATCTGGTATGAACACATTGTAAATGGATTGTAAATGAGACCTTTGGTTTACATGACAGGAAGAAGAAGTGGGAGAGAGCAGGGCACAGACTGAAGGAAGAGGTAACACTTTTTTTTCTCGATTGCCCACTTTAGACATTCTACTAACTAAGTAACTTTGCAAGTACGGGATACGCCACGTTTTTTTATTCCTTAAAATAAGACGAATTGATTCACACCTCTCTCGTCTCAGTGCGTGCACTTAATCGCTCTGGCGCGCGAAACACTTTGATAGCACTTACAGTAACTAGCCCAGTTCATTCAATATGGGCCAAGCAGACAAGCGACCAAACACCTCCACGTTTTCCCTATTTAAATACAGTTACACGAGTTGAGTAACTCAACCAATAATGGTGACACAAAATAAAACATTGCGCTTTTCTAAGTGTGTAAAATGGATAACTATAATGTATGGCGGAATACCACAGCAAGTGCTTGGGAGCACTTCGACTCGGTGCAGCAATATCATCACTTGTGAAAAGTCCTCTCCCTCTCCGGAGTGATTGATGTTGTTATCTTTTATAAGTTATCTGAAAACAATTTCTACTGTTGTATGGCAAAATTGTAATCATAAAAAATAGTTTAAACAAATTTATAATTAGTCAAAGATACTGCAATTATTTATGCTTTATCACAAACCTGTGTAGGCCAAATTATTCTCTGTTGTGTGTCTGTGTTAAATTTCAACATATAGTACATTACCATTCAGAAGTTTGAATATTTGTGTAATGTTTTTGAAAAAGTCTCTTATGCTCAGCAAGGCTGCATTAATTTGATTAAAAATACGGAAAAAAACAGTAATATTATGAAATATCATTACAATTTAAAATAACTGTTTTCTATTGTAATATGTTCATATTTCCTTCACAAATCATTGTAATATGCTGTTTTGAATGTTGAAAAATGTTGAAAACACAACAGCATTTATTTAAAATTTAAATATTTTGTAGATTTTACATTTACTGTCACTTTTGATCAATTTATTGCATTTTTGCTGAATAAAAGTATTAATTTTAAAAAACTATATATATATATATATGAGAGAGAGAGAGAGAGAGTGTGTTTGGAGGAGTTTTATTTGAAATATGTAATTAAATTGTGTCAATTTGCATCTTAATATGTGAATTAAACTGTGTCAGCCCTATTTCTTAAGTGAACAAGAAGAACATTATGAACAACACCTACATTTGATCGATGGTAATTAATGATAATAGTAAATAATAAATGAATCTAAAGTAACTAAAGACTTCACAGTACCACAGCGAATGCCTTTTTAAAAACATTGTTATCACTCCTCTAATGTTATCACTCTTCACTGGAACTGACTATAATTATAGATTTACGCCTCTTGTTGTTCGGTCTGTCACTATAATTACAACCAAAAACAGGATTCCTGTGGGAACAATAATTACAGTGAGGATGGCTGTCTTCTGTGTGTAAAGCTTTTCAATATAGACAAAAATAAACGATTGACAGGAATCAAGCGATGAGCAATAGTTAAAATGGAAGTCAGAGGCAACCATTACCAGGGACGGAAAGCTGACCGTGAGGGATATGTGTCAGTGAAAGACAGCTGGTCCTTTGGTTTGTCAAAGTGACACGATATTTCTTGATACTTTTCAGAATGTCAGAACATTGACGAGTCAAGATTGACATTTGCTTCTGCAATGTGGCAGCAATACTGTGAGAGATAAATGTGTGAAGAGTGTGTGTGTACACGTTTTTCTATTCCGATGGGGACTTAAACCTGAATGCACACAGACTCACGGGGGATCGTGTCACTGTGGGGACGTAAATCGAGGTCCCCATGGGTAAACACGCTTATAAATCATACAGAATGATTTTTTTTTTTTTTTTTTTTGAAAATGTAAAAATGCAGAATGTTTCCTGTGATGGGTAGGTTTCGGGATAAGGGCAGTGTAAGGGGATAAAATATACAGTTTATACAGTATAAAAACCATTACGTGTATGGAAAGTCCTCACAAAAGTAGTAAACCAGACATGTGTGTGTGTGTGACAGAGAGAGTATTAGAAAGCTCTGTCCATCAGTTGATGCATTCTCACAGTAAACCTTCCGTCGTCCTTGATCTAAGAATCAGGACAGGGTGTTGCTATGGAGACCTGGCTTAACAACAGTTTCCACAGTAATTTGGAAGAGAAAGTCTTACTAAAGTGGTTGTCAAGAGATGGTTGAAAAGCAAGGGCACTGCCATATGGTTCAAAAAACCATAAGCACTCAAGTCCTGAGTTCTGACCTGAGGTTACATGTATTCTATGTTTTAAAGGCCACAATTTTATGCGAGATTGAGAATCTCCATTAATGGATTCTGGAGGAGGTTTTGTCTTATTTGGGAAGAACATCTGCTGCTTTTGCTATTATCAAGGGCAAAGAAATGGCAAGCCATGTCACCAGCGCTACGCTCTGCTTTTCTCAGAGACTAAATAGGTCATAACTCAGTTTTTCTGAAAATAGCCGTGATTGGCTAAAAAGTAAATTTGCTACTGGGGGAAGAAAAAGATTTTAAACTGTGTCAAATGGCTTTTTTGGAGGGATTTATGCCCTTTAGAAGAGAGAAGAGGAATGGGATCGGGACATGACAGAGGCCAGGCTTGAAACTCTTGACTCTGAAATGTAAAAACTGATGTTTGAAATTAAATGCTTCTCAAGACCCCAAAAATGGCTTGGCCAAAGCAGTTTTCTTTCACATGTTGACATTTTTAAACGGCAAGACATGCCAGATAGGGAGGAATATAATGGTTCTCAAATGATTCTATAGCCGTCAAAGTAGAGTTGCAAAACTTTGAGTAGCCCTCAAAGTAGAGATGCACCATTAATTGTTAAAAGATCACAATCTCAATTAAAACACCCACGATCTTATTCCTAAATGATGATGATTCAACTATGTCTATTAAACCTTTGAAAAGTACAATCACAACGAACAAAAAAAATCTGCGTTCACGCTGCCGCTGAGCTTGAGACTGCAGTTATCATTTATATGGTGTCTTTTCAACCACACCGTATCGTTATTTCTGTTACAATAATTAAAATGATCACAGAAGTACTGTGATAAAATGTTTATAATGATAAACATAATGGTATATAATGATAATTATAATGGTAATGTACTGTGATATGACGCTTTATCAATTACATCCTTACACCAGTAGGTGGCGACATGTGACTGTCATTGAATCATTTATTCAAGTGATTCATTCAAAAACGCTGATTCATCCAGTAATGAAACAAGTGAAGGGTGCATCTCAATCAGCTCCCTAGTTCAATAGTCAGGCCACTGATCAGGGAGTCGGCCATTTTAGGGGTGTCACAATCGCAAAATCCTTCCAGTGTGAGTGTACTGAAACTTTCCCTCCCTAAAAAGTCCCAAAATGCACTGTGAAAACCAGGGAGCATCAATGCTCACTGTTTTCCATTAACGGAAGTTCTGAAGCATGAAACTTAAAGTAACACCAGATAACTTTTCAAGTCTCTTGAGATGGTACATCGACTTACAATAGGTTGAATGACACGTCTGCCATAGCCTGACGGAGTCTGTAGCGTTTTTAATCGTACTTTTAAATTTCGGGTTTTGGGTAGTAACCGAACAAAGAGAACTGCTTTACGGCATATACGTATATACAAATATACATATATATTTACGGCATATACAAATGTTATAGTCATGGTCGAAGCAGCACAGAAAAACAAGAAAGCAAAGGTTTTATCGGAGCAAAGCAAAAAGAGAAAAAGAGAAAGTGATCGCGTTAAAGGCAGAACGAGGATCAACATTGGGCCAGCGTTTTCTCGCTGGCATGAGCTGAAGGAGGGAGGGTGACCGACCGATGTCTAGCTTTTGGACTAGTAAGTATATTGCTTGCATACTATCTCTTTGTTTTTTGTTTTATCTGCCTGACTATGTTACGGAACATCTTACATCTTATCCTCCGTAGAGTAGCGAATTATCAATCTGGTAGCTAGTAAGCGATATTCTACTTTTTGATGGTTAGCTAGCATTCTCGTTCTGATTTGAACCTTGCAATCGATGAAATGCAAATGGCAAATGTTTGACCTAAAAAGTGTAGTCTACTCAACATGTACAAAGAAAGGAGGAAGATTATTAATATTATCATTGTATTCATAGCTTCTCATTTGAGTAATTTCCGATTATTGATAGCTACAGAGGCAAACGGGAATCTTGTCGCAATTTTTTCGGATGACAAATTGATATTATAATATTGACGACATATGGTTATCATCAACCACTCAAACATTGCATTGAAGTATCATATAGGTTCAGTAAAACGGTAACCAATAGACTAAGCTACTATAATGACGCTGGCTTGTAAACGTGAGCATCGCGATCATTTGTCGTTAGAAAAAAAATAAAACCCATGACATTATATTCATATGACATGCTGAAATATTTGCCAAATGCATATGCATGTAGAATGACAGAGTTTACGACAGTGCTGTTTTCCAACTGCAGGGGGACCCCAAGAGCAAAAGCTACCTGGTGTTACTCACTATCGATGTTTTTTTTAAATACAAACCATTATTTCATTTTAAACATACATCGTTGAGTGACGTGACGTGTAGCTAAGTATGGTGTCTCATACTCGGAATTTGTGCCCTGCATTTCACCCATACAAGTGCACACACGCAGCAGTGAGTATTGAACACACACCATGAACGCACACCCGGAGCAGTGGGGAGTCATTTTTGCTGCGGCGCCCGGAGGCGATTGGGGGTTAGGTGCCTTAAGGGCACTTCAGTTGAGGGTTATGAGAGTGAAGAGAATGCGGTTTATTCACACCGCCCACTTATATTTCCTGATGGTACTGACACTCGAACCCGCGACCTTCGACTGACTCTCTAACCATTAGGTCGAAACTGCCTCGGCCCAGTTAAACCTTCAGAAACCATTAGAAACATGCCAATCTTAATGTATTTCACACAATTTAGAAACATTGTAATCACCCTGTCAAATACAGTAAATTCCAAGTTGAACTGACATCACCATCTTTACTAATCTTCAACTTTTTCCAGACTTTGCAGTAAAACTTCTGCCTGTAGCATTGATATTCATCTTGTAGCCATTCAAAAAACAAGCGCTGGTGAAGTGTGAGGTCATTACTCGTCTAATGTAGGGCAGTGCGGCTTTGTTACAGTCACGCTGGTGGAATCTACTCAATGGGATCACGGCATGAAGGATTGATTAGAGCCTAAATCAAGAATGACTCACAGAAGAGGACCGGGCAAATCCAGCAAATAATCGCCTCTGTATCTCTTGGGAGAGAAAATACAGGATTTTGGTGCTGGCAATTCAATTCCCACCTCTTGGCAGAAAACCAATTTGTGGGGTAATAGGGAAGGGACTGTTTGGTGTTTTGTAAATGATTTACTAGAACAGCATCCATGCAGGAAAAGGAGCAAGTCGAGCAACAACTGTGAGTCTTCTATCTATCAAAGCTATTCAAGTGCGGTGACATTACACATGATGGGATGCTTTTAAAAGTAAAGCATTTCTTTTGCTTTGTTCACACTGCATATTAAGGACTGACTGGCAAAATGGATGGGGAAACTGAAATGAATTTATGAGGTGCATGAGACAGAAAGTGTCAAAAGCCTTTCTGTATGACTGACACATTCATGCATATGCTGAGTGTGAAACTACTCAGCCGTTTGCTCGTTCAGTACACTAAGTGCAAACGATGTGTGACGAACACATTGCACTTTTTGTGACGTTACACTCACCTTGCATCTCGAATGATGAAAAAAGTACTTCATCTAATCTAATCTAATCATTCAGACTGAAACATTTCCGTTTGTTAAGACCATATTTATATATAGTTTGCATCGGGTTAGTAAATAACACAGTTTTTAATACAACCATGCTTTTAAAAGCAAAAAATTAAAATTCTGTCATCATTTAGCTATAGTTAGCACAAAATGCAAGAGTTCTTACTAGGTCAAGAAATTATGATCAAATGGCACCAATTTTATCATCTTTGCACTGGTTACCTATTAAGTTCCGTATCAATTACAAACTGACCTATAAAGCCCTAAATGGTTTAGCTCCTGTGCATTTAATGGACCTTCTATCACCCTACAATCAATAACCTTCTTTAAGATCACTAAATTCGAGGCTTCTTGTCATTTCTAGGATATCTAAGTCCACTAAAGGAGGGAGGGTGTTCTCGCATTTAGCTACTAAACTCTGGAATAGCCTTCCTGATATTGTTTGAGGCTCTGACTCGCTGTCCCAGTGTAAAACTAGATTAAAGACGCATCTCTTTAGCCAAGCATTCACATAATGCTTACCTTTTATTCCTCTGTTGAATCAGATCGAATGCATTTAATATTATGAACAGCATCTATGCTAATTATTTCCTATTTGCTGCAGTTATCTTGGAACACTAATTCCAAGGAAAATGACTACCAGACTACAAACAACCAAATGGATCATAGTTGAAGACGTCAAAATATTGGATTTTTGATGCCTGTCTGGACAAAACCTTGGTTTACCTTTCCACAAGAAGATTAAATTACTTTTTTCAATTTCACACTGTTTCCTACATGCTGAACTTTACCATTTATCTGCGACCATCATCACACATTTTCATTTGGTCTGCTCTGCGCCTTACATCGGTTTCATCAATATCAGTTTGTCAATCGAGAAACTTCACCGAGCCGCTAAAAGGTCAGAGCGAGCCGTGAACGTCACGTGGCTCGGCTCCCCTGGGGCTGTATGGCCTCCTCTAGCAGAAAGGACAGCTAATTGTTAGCGATGTATTAAAAAGCGCGACAGGGATTTGTAGAGCTAATAGAAATCAATACTGGTAAGCCTCAATCTCGACGGGCCGAGTGCGGCTGGGAAAGGTGACGGGAGTGGAATGGACAGAGCTGTCTCGACGTGCAGAAAAAAGCCTGGTTTCTCTTACCAATCCATTTGTCGTTTCCGTACCAGGACAGGTTTCCTTTTGTGCTGTCATAATACCCAATCTTCTTGTAGCTCCCAACTGAGGAAAAAAAAGGAATTGAAATGAAACATGACAAATGTCTGAAAGAAAAGTGAATATGAAACTACTTCTCATGCAGAACGAACAGCCCAAAGCAGAGAGACCCTCATCTGTCTGTAGTGATGTGTCTCTCGAGACCACTTTTACACGGTCTCAGTCTTGTCACGGCCTTGACGGTCTTTGGTCTTGGACCTCTCGGTCTTGTCTAGGTCTCGCTGTCTCAGACCGACATAGTAGTAGCGACAAAACAACCAACTTTCGGAACCTGCACGTTTATAATTTCGTTTTTTAAAAATATTTATGTATTTAAAAGTTGCAGAATGGCTTAAATTGGAGACTTCGAAATCGGCAGAGATAGACAGGCAATGCAAAACAAAATCTTACAAGTTATTGCTTAGCTTCAACAACACTGTTTTTTGGTCTTGTCTTGGTCTCGACTTGGTCTTGGTCTTGGTCTCAACTTGGTCTGTCTTGGTCTTGGTCTTGTCTTGGTCTCGATACCCTCTGGTCTTGGTAGTGTCTTGGTCTCGGTTTTGACTACAAGTCTATCAAAAAGGAACATTCCCATGTTGTTTGTAAAATGACCAAACTGAACCCTTAAGGGTTTTGCTAACCTTCGTAACCTAACTTTTTGAGAACAATCAGAAATAATTTTTCCATAACTTAATGGGAACGGTATCAAAATTTTCTTTGAACATATTTTTGTTAGCTGGGGAGATAGTAATTTTATTTTTAAAGTCTTGTGTTAAAAGTTTCCTTGCGTAAATATAGCATCTAATTAACAGTGTGTCAACTAAAGGTCACATCAACAAAACGTGCTTTCACCAAGCACTGCAAAAAAAGCTTCAAAAGAGGCCTGACTCAACAAATCTGCAAAAGTAGTCGACTCAAAGCTGCATCAATAGGTCAAAGATAAAAAAACAAGCCCGACTGCATTGATCACAGTTAGTCTGAAAGGGAACATATTGTAGAAAACCCCTTCTCGCACTTTGGAAATCAAAGACTTTGATGTATTATGTAGACAAACTTTCACAACATAAAAGTTAAACTCTAGTACCAATCTAGACCATTCATTGAAACTAAACAGGAAAATACGACCACAGACACAGTGAAGTAATGAGGAGAAAGTAAGATAGGTGGGCTTTTCTATAACTACAAGCCGATTTTGCCCTGTTTACTTTCAGAGCTACCAGACTAGAGAAAACAGAGAAAAACGGCTGTTGCCAAATAGGAAGGAAAATTTTAACACCCATAATGCACTGGGTATGTTGCCATCCAAGGCCACTCCCACCAGTCTGCTATGGATACGCTTGCCAAGGTCAAATACCGCCTTGCTTTAGTAGGAAATTCAACTTAGCAAACTTTAAGTCAAAAGAGTGTCGACTTGTATTGTTTCCGTGTGCAGGAATTCAAAGAGTAAACCTTTAACTTCATTTTAAATCTGATTTTTAAAAAAGTATCGAAACTAGAGGTTGAAATATCGATACACTATCGTGAAAGAAAATATTCCTATAGTTATCTGTATCGATATTTTTGCACAACCCTACTGCTTGATTGGGAATAAGTAGTGTGACAGTCATAGTCTCTAAAAAAACTGGCATTTTACTAAGATTTTACTAACATCATAAGTGAACAGTCATCAAAACAGACGGATGAAGGATGTGACCCTTTAAAATGCAATCAAGTGCATCAGTGTCATCATCTACATTAGTTTAAGGGTTTTTCTGTTTTGTTTGTACCTTGCAGTTGCTCAATGAGAGTCCAGGCCATACGTGAACCCTGAGCATCAAACACGACGTGACCCTACGAGACACATATGCATGAATAGAAATAGTTCAAAGACATTATGATAAAGAAAGACACGTCAATACAAAATCATCATAAAAGAAATCCATTTGTGATTCATCATGAAAAAAAAAAGTATTAAATCTTTAGGAAAAATAAAGGCTGAATCATTCTATAATGAGTTTGAACTGAGTGGATTATAAAAACGGCATCATCTGAGACTGATGAGTGCCACTGCGAGTTTAAAATTTAAAAAGCTGTTCTGACAGGTCTGAGAAATTAAAGTCTGGAGTGTTTTATCTCATTGTTATTTGACAGCTATTTGTCCTTTGCGTTTCATCAACTCACAGAAACTCCTTCAAACGAGCTGGTGTTGAGGGCTCGGTATATTTCAGCAGTGATTTCCTTGTTGTTGTAGTTGAAGTCCTCCAGTCCCCAGCCTTTGGCCCTCAGCGGGGCCACCGTTTTATTGAGGGCCAGTGCGAGAGCCCACACGGCATCATACGCCAATGGAGCTTCCTGAAACCCGCCCGTTTCTTCTGGGTTTTTGCCCCCGAGACGTGACATCAGCTGCACCAGGAACTCTTGGGATGTCTGTGGAGGATTTGAGAAGGATTAATGATCCCATCCTGAAATTTCCATAGATAGTTTTTACATAGGCATCGTCATAGTCAAAATCTTAAAATCCACACACCAAGTTGGAGGCTCCGCGGACGGTCTCCGGGTTTAGCATGACGATTTCTGTGGTGACGTGCCCTTCCACGGCTTCCGTCATGTTCTCCACTGTGCAATTGATGGCCGGATCTTTAATCTTAAACCAGTTGTCTGCATACCAGCCGATGAGGAACCACACATGCTTCTTACCATAGAGTTTTTCTTTGAAGACCTGCCAAAGATGACAGCAAGTTTTGAAGGTCTGTGCTAAAGAAATAATCGTATTCAATATTTTAATCTCGGTTAAGCCACAGTGAGTTAACTCAAGCTGAGTAGAAGCATCGAACTGAATTGATTTAAAATAAATTGACAGCTCAGATGTATTTGTTAAAAGAATCGTAGTTGTTACTTACCTCACAAAACACCTTTCTGGCTTCAGTCTCGTAAAAGAGGCCAACTATGATTCTAGCATCTTGACGCTGTAGACAAAGACGCATCAAACAATGTGACATATTTGTAATATCCTGATTTACATCCATATATTTTTAGGCAAATTTTGGGATAGTGCATAAAACACTGGATGGAACGTTGTCAAACGATTAATCGCGATTAATCACATCCAAAATAAAAGTTTGTGTTTACATAATATATGTGGGTGCACCGTGTATAATTATTTTATATATATACACACACATGCTTGTATATATTTAAGAAATATTCTCATGTATATACTGTATATAGATTTATATATAATGTAAATATAAATATTTTATATATAAATTAATTTTTTTTCTTAAATATACATGCATGTTTGTGTATTTATATACACAAAATAATTATACACAGTGCACCACATATAGTATGTAAACACAAACTTTTATTTTGGATGCGATTAATCGCGATAAATCGTTTGACAGCCCTAATTTATGACAATTATATTTTCCATGGAAAAGCAACTTTGTTCTATTGCACACGTGGGATGGAAGAGAGGCTTTTAGCAAGCAATTTTGCACTATATTCAGATTTTATGCATAAATACGATGGAAACAGCAACTGATAACGAACTGCAAGAATGATTATTTATAATGACTTTACCATGATTTGTAAATTTATATACAGTACGTATACCGTATATGAGCTGCAGTCATGGCCTACAGTTAATTGAACTATACTGGGATCTTTTTTTTCTGCTTTTATTCTGAATTATTAATGATAAAATGTAGCCTATGAACAATTCTATAAAGCAATAAGCCACTTGAGTATGTGTTTTACAGTGATATTACCACGGTTAAGAACACCTTTTGTTACTTATTGCTTTTATTGACTCTGTTTATGATATTCTAGGTGAAGTGTGTAATTTCTGCACCATTAGCATCACCAAACTGAACTGCGAAAATGATGACCGTTTTTAAAAAGGCTAGACATATGCCAAAACAAGCCAAGCATTTAACAAGACAGTCCAATTCTCATGAGATCTTTGTGCAATACAATTTTACAAAAAATTACGCCGTCTAACTATTCAATAACAAACGCCAGTAGCGACCAAGACGGTATCCGAACCGTCACTTGATCTGACGAAGGAAGCGGATTCTTCTCATCGTGTTGATTTATTTCACATAAGATTTTCATGTGCTCTGCCTGCTAGCTAGCTACCCGACACGGGCTGAGGAGAGGAAGTGAGCGGCTGGTGAATTTTTCATCAAAGCACCTTCAGGTTTTTGACAGCCACTGCGGGATCCGTGAGGAAGCTCTGTCTAACGCTTATCTCGATGCCGGCCTCCTTCACACGCTCCTCCAGATCATCCAAAGTCTGGAGAGAGAGAGAGAGGGAAAGAGTGCGGTGAGACAGTGGGAGTGACAGGAGAGGAGTGATGTTCGTGGAGAGAGGACAGACACGAAGAAAGCACATGAAAAGATCAAGGAGTGAATGAAAGAGAAGAACAAAAGGTGAATGGTCAAAGCATAGACCAAAGTTAAAAATGACAAAGTAAAAAGAAATGGAAAAATAAAACAGTCTGGAACAGTCAAAAAGGATATATATATATATATATATATATATATACAGTATATATACTGTAAAAAATATTGCTGGTTGAACGTACCTTAAAGTTAAAGTTACCTGGTTCCCTTAAAATTGAGTTCATTGGAATTTAAAATGTAAGTTAAAATAATGAGGAAAATCACTGACTGTTACCTATGTAAGTAATGAGCCAGCTTTTTTGGGAAAAGTGCTCTTGAGACATCCAACATCAATGAATGGAGGAAATGGCAAAAGAAAGAGGAAGTGAACAGGAGAGAAGGATTGGGAAGAAAGTAAATGAGAAAAAAGAGATGAGCTGGTGAGGAGATGGAGGGGGATCATTAGCCTAGCGGAATTACACTAGCTCAATAGCCTACTATACTGAATCAATGCATGAGAGATTTATGACTTGGTCAATATTCCTAGCAGCCAACATGAAGAAAAACGACTTTAAGTCCTTCATCACTTAAGGAGAGGATAATCAACCACGGTCTTTGCCATTAACTCTATGACATTAACCTTAAAATAAAGGGGCAGCAGCTAAGCTGCTAACAGTTTTAAGTGGGAAAGGAAACTGCTTTTCTGGAAAATTACTTCCTTTAAAGGGGTCACATCATTTTTAACATTTAATTTTCCCCTGAGGTCCACTTACAGCGTTCATCAAAGTTTTTTTTATCGCCTATACAGTCATAATTTAATGATCATAACCATTCTCTATTTCCATCCTCTTAGTGACATTAAATTGCATTTTTTTAGTTTTTTGCATGTGAAATGAGATACAATGCTGTAATGCAGTCTCTTTGCGAAGCCTGTATTACATATTAACAGGTTTACAAAACAATCAAAGCTGAAATGTGCCATAGAGAATGTAATGGTCCTTTCTAATTTTGGGATATGCAAAGTGGTAGGTGCTACACACAGCCAAGAAGATGGATTTGACTATACCTTTACCCTCATTATTAGTTCTTCATGTGCTCACCAATTCATATTTTGGTATTTACACCATCATATCTATTCTACTTCCTCCTTACAGGCACGTCAAGTCACAGAACACCAAATAGGCATTCAATGTTACCGTAAGTGGATTTTTGCATCTTTTTTATCAAGGGAGGAAGTTTATGAGCTCTTAAAGCTGCAGTCTGTAGTTTTCCCTCTTTATCACCATCTCTGTTCGAAATCTGCAATTGCAGTTATTCGAGGAATTATCAACATCCACTTTTGTTCTGACCCACTAAGGGGAAAAAAAGCATTGCAGTAAATTGCGTTGATTAAATCTAATGATCGCTTATCATATCACGTCAAACCATGCAGATTATACTTTGGTCACAAATTGTTAATGTTAACAACATCAGCATTGAGTGACTACGTAATGTCCTTCCGATATTTTTCCTTGTATTCGCATAGACCGGTTGCAGTATTTCTTTTTTTCTATTTTAAAAGACTTTTTCTAAGTCTTTTGCATTTTACAGCGGATGAATCTGTTGTCACTGGTGTTTGTCATTTGAACCTTTCTGGACCCACCATCAAATTGATAAGTTTAATTATATCAAGTACAATGAGAAAAGGCAATAAATCTCCAACATCCAACATCCTCACACGCAACATAGCTTACCGTAAAACTTCAAATAATAGCCGAGTCCCAAATAGTCGCCTGTCTCGTTCACACGCCTGGTGTGGCTGCAGGCTTGGGTAAATAAAAGCCGCTCTCAAATAGCGGCCAGGTATGTTTTTTAGTTTGGGTTGTTAATCTTCTAAAACCATCAGATTGTCCGGATTTTGGCGGCCGCCAAAGCAAACATTTGTCCCACCAAAGTCTATTTTGATCGGTGAGTGATGTAGAATAGAATGACCGCCGCGCTTGACAGGGCGCACAACGAGGAGAGAGAGAGAGACCCGGCCGCACGCTCGCAATCTCACGTCTTCAAATACACGAGCGCTGTCTTGCTTTCTCTTGAAAGTTGTGTCGTGTGGTGTGAACAGCTCAACAACTTGAACACTCCTGATTTCACTGAGAGCAAGTCATGTAGTGTGAACGTTTTAAAATCATGTAGTGTGAACAAGGCATAAGATAAACAAGAGAGAAATATCTACAAGCACTGACCGAGGTAAAGACTTCAGTGGTCTGCTGGATGGTGGCGATCTTTGTCCATCCCCACTTCTGGAAGAGCCGCACACGTGTGGGATTATGCAAAGTTGCTGACGGGTGCGTCCGAAAGAAAGTGGGAAAGCGCTGGCGGTTGGATAAAGCTGGAGAACTGGAGCCGTATGAAAACTTCAGAGAGACAGCAAGAGAAAGAGACAGTAGATAAAAAGGTAGAAGGATAGAGAGAGCACATTGAAAAGATTTACTCAGCTATATGGTTGACCTTATTTGATGCCCCTGAAAAGAACGAAACACAAAGAAAAAGCAGAGCAAAAATATGAGTGAGAATTTTGCACACACTGTAAGAAGGGTAAATGTCAACCCAGGGAAGCCAGAAGCTTTAAGCAAACCTGAATAAACAAGCCAATCTGTTCCAATGTTGACGCGTCAATACTTAGAAAAGCACAGCGGAGGAATGATATCCAGTATGCTTTAGCCTTTTTGAACTAAATCTTTGTATTTCAAGCAAGTTGCTTGGTGAAAAAAAATCCCTTTATTGTATTGAATGTGTACTTCAAATCTTAAAAGTACTTGCAGATAAAATAACAATAAAGAAATAAAAGGCCACTTAATTGCATAATGTCACATTAAAAGTTTTACTTTAAAGTCAATATTTTTACTCGTGCTACTCATTACATTTTAATAACATTTTGTCATGCTTTTGCCAAGTAGTACACTTCATTTGATGTGTTGACTAACAATATTAAAGCACATAATTATTATCTTAAAAACCTGATTTTCACCACGGGGGACTTAAATATTTTGTATTTTTAGGGGATTTTGTTATTAAATTACATTTTTTTTTACCCGTTAACCACTTTTTGAGCATAGACCTGAAAATGAAATTTCAAACTCAAAGTGTCTTAAATCTTGAATGCTTTGGAGTACAGACTTAAGTTTGGTCTCGTTTTAAAGAAGACACTTGGCAGATTATTCCTAGAAAAAAAAATACTTAAAAAAGTTAACTTAAAAAAAGTAAGTTTATTTTTAAGACAAACTATTATACAAACTATATACTATTTTTTATGAAATATATATTTTCTAAGCCATGTTTTTCTCTAAAACTGATATAAAATCAAAACCATAAATGAGGTTGATATCTCAAAAAACGAGCTGATTATGGCCCAGTCCCAAACCCTTCCACTTGATGAAATTGTTTCCCATTTATTTCGAATGCGCTCATTTTTTGACAGTGAGCAGTACAAGAGTGACTATTTTTTCAGGACCCTTAACATTTTCAAATCACGCGCGTGTGTGTGTGCATAGCAATAGCCAAAACCTTGACCCAGTTTCAAACCATTCTGATAAAGTAAAAAATGCTAAAAAAAAAAAAACAAATATTTTTGTTTCCAAGAGAGCACCGAAGAGCATCAGAGGGTTAAATGTACTAAATACCAATTTTACCATTAAAATTGAGTGTTTAAATTATATTTAAATACATGACATATAAAATTCAATAGAAATTACATTTAATTCTATTTTAGTCTACCAAAAATGCTGCATTACAGGATGTAATTAAATTGTACTAGTGCTCTAAATTCAGGTTATTGCATATAATATTTTATTATTACAATAAAATAACATTTTAATTTATTCATAATTAAAATCCATTAAAGTGGCAGAAAACATTATATTTAGTTTATACTTAAGTATATTCTTTTAAAGTATACTATTTCTGTAATGATAAGTACTCTTTTTAAAAGCATAAGGCCTACTTCTTTTCCACAAGGACTGATTTGTCTAAACTGTCACATATAAACACAGTTATTCAAGAGAATCTCTTCGTAATCTACTTGAGGAGAAACCCACTGAAGACTTCTTTCAGAGGGTTTCCTTGGAGAGTTGATTTGTTAGAGAGTTGAAGTAAACTCACTTTTCCAACTTTTTCTAAATTGCATCCCGCAAACTCAACTTTTTCACACAATTAAACTTGAGAACAAAGTCAGAGTAGAGAGCATTACTTTGCAAATTCCTGCAAACCTCGGCGGATGCCAGATGATTGAAAAAGAATAATTGGAAAAATTAATTACAAAGCGTATCTAGCGTATTTCATTCTCTTTTTTCACTTTCACCCTCTCTGACTTCCTTGAGAGTCTCTTTTGACAGTTTTAACTTGTCAGCTTTTTCAAGAGTGTCAACAAACTACAGAAAGCCAATGAGATCACAAGTCCAAATTCTTTATGTTCCTTGACCCAGAAATAACAGAACTCCTTGTTTTGTGTGGCAAATTTGCTCATCCGAATCTCGAATTCACACTCTAAAAAATGCTGGGTTGTTTTAACCCAACTTTGGGTCAAATATGGACTAACCCAGCCGTTGGGTTAAATTTTTACATTACATTTTTAACCCAACATTTCGGGTTTGTCCATATTTGACCCAAAATTGGGTTAAAACAACCCAGCATTTTTTAGAGTGCAGTTGTAGTTAAAGCTGTAAAACGACTGTTTTCTCATTTACCGTTTAATGACAATAAACCAGCTTCCCAAAATGAACCTCTAAAAAATGCTGGGTTGTTTTAACCCAATTTTGGGTCAAATATGGACAAACCTGAAATGTTGGGTTAAAAATGTAATGTAAAAATTTAACCCAATGGCTGGGTTAGTCCATATTTGACCCAAAGTTGGGTTAAAACAACCCAGCATTTTTTAGAGTGATAATGTTCGACAGTAAATCAGGTGTATGGAGAAACCAATGATCAACAATACAGACATAAAGAGTTTAGACACATAGCAAACACACCACTACAAGGTTCCACATGCGCGCCGCCTCAGCCACAAGTGTAGAAACGGAGCTGCAGCCTGGCATCAAGACGATCTTTATGGGCTCTGTGTACAGCAAGTCATACAGCAGTTTAGTGGCCTCTCCTGGATCACACTGAAGAAAAGAGAAAAAGTCATAATTAGCCTTTGAAAAAGCTTCATTTGAGCGTGTCACAATCGTTAAAGCCTCAATAGAATCAGCACAGAATCACAGTATCTCATTGCCCAGAAAAACCATCTCGGACTATAGTGAAGCTGTAACCGGAGACCTCTCGTGCTGCAGTTCACTGTGACAAATACAACAGGAAGTGATTCACAAATGAGGGGGTGACTGCTTGAACGCAGCAGATGCAGTCACACTGAAATGGTGCCCTTGGTAACAATCAGCAGAAACACTTCATTAGGAGCATCATGAACAGTTTTAGAAATAAATGGCATGGTGCTGGCCTCAAAAACAGAAAGGAACCACTTTGGATCCATCTCAATAGGGGTATATTAGATTAGAGAGAGTGTATTGTCATCCCAAACCGAAAGTGACTCACTCCCACTAAAGTTTACTCTTTGAATTCCTGCACCCGGGAAGAGTAAAAGTCGATAGCTTTATGGCTAAAAGTTTGCTAAGAGGTATTTCCTACTAAATCAAGGAGGTATTTGACTGCACTCTAAAAAATGCTGGGTTGTTTTAACCCAATTTTGGGTCAAATATGGACAAACCCGAAATGTTGGGTTAAAAATGTAATGTAAAAATTTAACCCAACGGCTGGGTTAGTCCATATTTGACCCAAAGTTGGGTTAAAACAACCCAGCATTTTTTAGAGTGTGGAGTGGCCTTGGACGGCAACATGCCGGTGCATTATGGGTGTTGTTTTCCTACCTATTTGGCAAAAGGAAAGACAACTGCCTTTTTTCTCTCTGTTTTTTTTTTTCAGTCACACTTTAGTTTATGGTCCAATTCTCACTATTAACTAACTACGACTTTTGGCTCAATAATCTCCTAATTACTGCTTATTATTAGTTTAGTAAGGTTGTTGTTAAGTTTGGGGACGTTCATTTATCTTCAGAACACATATTAAGATATTTTAATTAAATCTGAGGGATTTCTGTCCCTCTGGTGAAAGTCTAATTACCTAAAACTCAGACGCTGCAAAACGTTCATAAAGATATCATTTTAAAACCCCATTTGAAGTGGTTTAATCCAAGTCTTCTTAACCCATAAGCTGTCACCCCGCTTTTTGAGAATGAGGGTTAAGATGCACTATTCAAACTTAAATGGTTGTAATTCAAGAATGCTTTGGCATATATAGCCAAGTTTGGTCTTGTTTTAAAGAACACACTCAGCAGATTATTGCTGAAGTGAAAACACTTCAAAAAAATGAAAGTATGAAAAAGTTTCAAGTTTAAATTTACAGTAAATCAAATATACTGTACTACTGTATATATTTTTTATTTTATATAAACTATACATTTTCCAAAATATTTTTTACTCTCAAATTACTGTAACATCGAAGCCATAAGTCTAATCAAGTTATGATCCAAGTTTGAAGTTGATGTCACAAAAACTGAAGTTCCCATGAGATTTTGTTTAGGGGTAGTACCAACAATATCCACCGGGTGCCGTACATTCCATTGAATTTAGTTGTATACTGTATATTCTGCCTTAACAAAATAATACATTTTTGTCCAAATATCAATTCTGTCACAAAATTTGGAAACTTGAGACACATACCTTTCTGATAATGTGTTTTGGCAAGATTAGAAAAGGTTTTAATCATAAATTATGAAATAAAATATAAAGATGCCCAAAAGAGGAGGATGCACAAATTTATTTCGAGTACCGTTTCTATGGTAACACAACGTTCAATTATAAAACTGTTTTCACAGGATGAATTCTGAGTTTATAAGCTTTCAAATGATACCTAATTACTACAAAAATATGAGATATAATAAAAAAGGCGATAAAAAAGATTATATTTTAGAGGATAATATATATATATATATATATATATATATATAATTTTTAGAGGATAATATTATATTATATTTTGTTATTGAAAAATACCAGATTATATGTTTTATTATGAACTTTTAGCATAAAAACAAAAGTTTCAATTTTTAAAGGTGGGTGCATCGACTTTTTGTGACAAAGGTCACAGCTCCTGTTATGATGCAGATTTTTTGAGGTGCAGTCTTGTCATAAATTCATCAGTTACTCTTCCTACATAATTTGCAACACAAAACAGGGGTAGAATATCTGTTTAGAAGTCTTAGACCTTTCCAACGATATATAATTTGTCATAATTAGATTAGGATTTATTAGAAGTATAGTGAAGTAAAGTTAGGCGTCCCGGTAGTTTGATCCACATATAAACAGTGATCATGGAACGTGCACAGAGCTCAACCGTACTTGTGTACAGTCTACAATTCAATAATAATAATACTGTGATGGAATGTTTTTTGGCTGGTGTTTTTTTTTTTGCAGTGGTAGCAGCAGTGTGGTACTGAGGTTTCAAGAGGAGTTCATAATTTGTGTTATGTTAAAACACTTACACAGTAGAATATGAAGTAATATTAAAGAAACATTGTATACAGATTTCGCAAAAGATACAGTTGTGGTGCCGAGCTCTGGCAGTAATGAAAATACAACAGTCAAGTCTTCCATCGTGAAGTGGGGGCTATCAGGAAATTTGAATAGTTTCAAGCAAATAGCTAATAATAATATTTTTGTCAGATATCATTTGATCAATCTAGTACAGTTCTGAAAGAGCCACATGTGGTTTCTCTGCTCCAGTCTGTCTTGGCATCTCCAGGGAGCTGAGGCATTTTTATTCAGTCCACGGGCTCGGAGAAGCAGCCATCGAGAGCCGCTTGACGTGAGGGAGGCATCAGGCATCTGTGTTCTCAAAGTCCCTGGGGCTGAAGGTTATGCAGGTCTCAGGACCAGAATACTGAGCGTCGGCTAAAAAGGGCAAGAACCCTTTTCTCGCTGCTGTTGGACACAATGACGGATTTTGTTTTTGTTGGGTCTGATATAACGGTGCAGTGCAGTGCAAAATTCAGAATTGAAGAACCGGCTCCCTTTCAGTTGACAATTTGGAAATTGCATTGATTTGGCCACGCCTCACTGGAAGGTCAACTAAATAGCCTTCATCTACCATTGTGAAAATGAAGTGCCCTTAATTGAGTGTGAACTTGAAGTATTTTTATTTTCAAACACTGTACTTGCAGATAACATTTTATTAATGAAATAAAAGGCTGATGTACTTAAAGAGAGTACACGTTCATGATTGTCCTAATACCCATAATCACAGTCTTTGCACTTGATTAATTGTCTAATTACATGACATATTTTCTGTATTTATTATTATAACTATTATATATTTATTTCCTGTGTGGGCAGAACTTTTGATCACCCAACATAACTGCAAAATAGTACGTTTGTGCAGAGATTTATTTATATTTTTTTCTTATTTTCAATACTTAGATCTATCTATCTATCCATCCAATTTTAAATAACTTTCAAAAAAGCCAACATTCGTTCTGCATTCATTCTTGACAAACTTTGCTATTCTAGTAAAACATAGTTATATAAATTCACCTGAATTCAATGCATTTCTGCATTGCAATTCTGCATCCTGTTTCTCACACCAGTTAAAATTGAACCTAAATCACCTTCACTCTTTCTTGCTAATAATTATGAATCTGACTAATGAGTATATCTAATATAGTTTTATATAATGTCATGTCAGCATCTGTGACTCTCTTCATGGCAAAAACTATCTGACTAAAAAAATAAAACTTCCAAGTTTTTTTTTACTGAGTCATATAGGATATTTGGTGAATGCAAGCACAGTGTGCATAAAAGAGATTATTTTATGTGCAAGCTGCAAGCCAGATCTGTAGCTTTGACTTTGTTTACTATACAGATTCAAATGCTAAATGTCTCATTCCAACGTAGCAAAACACGTCCTCCCGTGACTCAGACCGTGAATGAGTCTTCATCTGCTGTTCTGCCTTATATTAACTTGCAAGTGTTGATTTGTTGTTTCTAAACTGTAATTCTGTATCCCTGGACCCTGATGAGAATGAATAAAGCATGCATTTGGATATGGAAATTCTTCATCTCGTTACAATCTGGATACAACAGATGCCAATTAAAACAGGGAAAACACAAGTGTCTCATCAGATCATCAGTCTCTCTCTCTCTCTCTCTCTCTCTCTACCTCGGTCTTGCTCTCTCACGGTTAATAATTGATCAAAGTTTGCAGGCTGAGCTTTGATATAACCATGGCAACCATCTGGAGAGGGTGAGTGTATCTGCGCAAGGGGGTCCCTGTAAATATCTCAAATATCTCATACAAACACACACACACGATGGACCACAACTTGTAGCAACTGAACCGCATGGTGAGGGGGAAAAAAGAAGAAAACGTATCTTGTTATTTTGAGATATTAAGTCATTGTTTCAACATAATATCTTGTTATTTCAAAATAAGTAGTTATTTCGACAAAATATATCTGGTACTTTGACATAAGTCGTTATTTCAACATAATAAGGGGACAGTCTAATTTGCATTAAGCCACATTAAGCATTCTTATAATGGTTTTCTATGGGAGGAAAATGCTTAACCTGCAATTAAACATATTCTTAAACATATTAAACGTTCATATTCTGGGCTCATCTGATTTTTGTACACAGTATAGCCTACTTTATTATGATTTAGCATCATAATGATTAATAAATCCACACAATTATCCATGAACTTGATAAATGTTGCAGATATGTTTTACTATGCACAACAAATACCTTTTAACTTATGTGTGCAAAATTCAGAACTAAATGAAAGTGCAGCAATTTGTACAAATAGAGAGACTGTAGGCCGTGGGCTATTGTACGTGTTGTAGCCATTAAATAAGTGCATTTAGTTTAATTTCTGTCAAAATATTATAATATATATATATATATATATATATATTCATCTATGTTGATTATGAAAAGCGAACAGCATGAGTAAAATAGGATGAGCAATATATTGGGAGACATGGAGTGAGTCAGACATGATTTTGACCACTTCATTAAGTTCATTAACTCAGCGTATGCCTCACAGACATGAGAAA